TTTCTGGATGTTCTTCTCTAGGAATAAACAATGTTGAAAGGGCCAGAACTAGGTCTTCGTACTCTTCATGTGGCAAATCTAAATATCATTGGCCTTTCAATTGCTCACAATTACAGCTCGACCATGTCCTATCACAACATCGAGGTTTCTGGCGAGTTCTCTACAATAAAATATGGTATATATGGCATCAGAAGAAACTAAATCAATCATTCTAGTCAAAAATATACAGGGTGTTCCATTTAGAAAAATGCAAGTGTTTGTTATTATGACAGTTATGTTAATATGGCACCTGTCATTTGCCCGCTTTGACATTTGCAAAAGATAATAGCGGTTAAACCCTACAACTTTAGTATTTAACATTTTTTTGTATTTTTTTTAAGTTTGGGAAGCCTAACTATAAGGAACAGTCCCTGTACCGGGTGTTTCACCTAAGGAGGTAACCGGCTATATTTCAGAAACAAATAATGCTAGAACTTTGAAAAAAAAAAACATAAAACCGACCAAGAGAAATTGCTGGAAATTATTTGCAAGTTTGTAGGAGTCGCAACGGTAATGTTAAAAGATAAAGCTCCCCCACCACTTTATTTCACATGGGACAAAAATTTTTACCTGATATTTTTGTTCAGAAAGTGTCATAAATTAAAATGGTGATATTTATTGACGTCCCTAATCAGATTTTTTTTTCGAGAAAATCCTATTTTTCCTACATCCTACAAACTTGAAAATAATTTACAGCAATTTCGTTGGCCTCTTTCATCAATAATTTCTTTTTCTTCAAAGTTCTAGTGTTATATTAAGTTTCTGGGATATAGCCTGTGACCTCCTTAGGTGAAATACCCGGTACATACCTACAGTATTTATAATTAATATTTTGCAGGACTGTCTATGTTTGCGAGAAGTTACATAATAAACAAAAATTGGTTTTAAAACAAATTCCTACAAATTTTTTTGGAACAGATCTGGCAATTGCTGTAAATGAAGTCTCGATTTTAAAAGCTCTGAACCACCCAAACATTATAGCTTATTGTGATAGTTATATGAAGGATGGCTGCATTTGGATAGTTATGGAATATGCAAGTCATGGAAACCTACACCAGTATATAGTCAAAAGAAAAGAAAATTCTAGTTTTCTGGAGCCTCAGGTAAACGATTTTTTTTATAGAAAAATAAGATTATTTACAAATTATATTTTGGACATCTGCAAATATAAAACACGGTAATTTGCTTTCTATGGGAGACACATTTTAAGCATATGTATCAATCTTGAGTATCCATCAAGAGAAGGGTTGATTGATACCTACATCATTTGGAATGCCCCAAAATTGTCATTTTAAAACTGTATTTGTTGCGGCTTACCTAAAAATATGTAATAATCCTCGGATCATGAGTTGAAACATAATAATTGTAGGGGTGAAAATTTGAAACATTGATATGGGTATAGGGTGAATAATTTGAATCACTTCAATAATGGGAATGATGTCGATTAAATGTACCATTTTTTGTAAATTTAGCTTCGTCGGTCCAAATGATGTCCAAAAAAAAAATTGTTTGCGTGCGTCCAAGTTATAATAAATTCACAAAATGCTACGCGTCTTGGATAATCGGTTTCTTTCAAATGTTGGACTATGGAATGTGTGTATGGATGAAAGGACCCCGCAGAAACCTTATGAGAACTGGCCCTCAGTGGAATCTCATGAAATTTTGCATATTGATAGTTATTGACCTATAGATTAAAAGTGTCCATGTGCACAAAGTTGTAAAAATTCGCTTTTTTGAGTTGCAGTCGTTTGAAGTTGCGTCATATGTGAAATTGCTCAAACCTTATACAGTCTAGTTTTTTCGGTTACTTCATGAATTTTAGAACGACATATGCATAGTATAATACGTTTAAAATTATTCGATTCCAGAAATGGCAACTTTTAAACCATAGACGTCCTAAGAGGGGTTTAAAAATAATTATGGGAAATAATGAGGTGATTACAGGTAGTAAAGGTACATGTTTGATACTAAATTGACGAAGAAACATTATATTAAGTAGAAAATAGAGCATTGTATGTACCATTCGAAAAAAAATCAACCCACTCGCTAGGGCTCGTAAGTTAAACTTCCTTCTCATGGGTAAACATTCATTTAACTCACTTGGTGTATGGATAACTATTATTTTATAATTATTTTTAACCCCTCTCAAGACGCCTATGGTTTAAAAGTGGTCATTTCTGGAATCGTATAATTTAAAACTTATTATACTACAATGATACTATGATGTTCTAAAATTCACGAAGTAACAGAAAAAACTAGACTGTATAAGGTTTGAGCAATTTCACATATGACGCAACTTCAAACGACTGTAACTCAAAAAGGCGAATTTTTAGAACTTTGTGCCCATGGACTCTTTTAATCTATAGGTCAAGAACTATCAATATGCAAAATTTCATGAGATTCCACTGAGGGCCAGTTCTCATAAGGTTTCTGCGGGGTCCTTTATGTTTTCGCAATATTCTATGAACTGGTGATTTGGATAATTCTGACTCTAATGCAGCTTGTCTTACAGACACTGTTGGATATGTGGCGAAATAACCGAAAATATCAATTTCAATCTTTCCATCATTAACGAGAGGTTTATTTCTTTGCACAATTCCCTTGACGGATTCAAAGGTTTTGAAATTTTCTTTAATTTGTTTAGCATGCTGTGATGGTCTCTGTTTTTGCGGATATCGAATGGCAAATGCTCGGGCAAATGTATCACATGTTCTTGATATAACTTTATCTCATTCTCCGTAAATAATAAATAACTTTAAATAATCGTCGTTTGTATAGTTTAAGCGCCTCGGCATGATTATTATTTAAAATTTGCAACAAGTAAAGAGTATGAACTTAATAAAAAAAAAAATTCCGCAATTACCCCTTGCACGAACTTCGCTGGCGCGTCGGTTTGTGCAAACGCCGTTACGTACGGAAAAGTATAACTTTCCGCACTTGTTAGGTAATAGTTATTTACCTAACAAATGCGGAAAGTGATACTTTACCGCACGCAACGGCAGGTGACCGAACGACGCGGAGCGGAGTTCGGTCAAGCCGCTAAGGGCGGTAAAGGCACTTTCCGCATGTGTTAGGTACAAAACTTTACCTATGAGCATCTACATCTCTAAAAAAAGGCATTGATAAAATTAAATATTGAATCAGATTAATTAATGAAATTAGATTAGATATAGAAATGATCAAAAATCCATTTTCTGAAAAAGAGAGGATTTCTGATTAAAAATATTAAATTTTACTTTACCGCACACTATGCGGTAAAGTGCACTTTACCGCACACTTTGTAGTCCACTTTACCGCATACTATGCTGTAAAGTTAACTTTACCGCACACTATGCGGTAAAGTGCACTTTACCGCATGGTGTGCGGTAAAGTGATACTTTCTATTTGCAAATACGTGCGGTAAAGTGCACTTTACCGCACGCTCGTAGGTAAATAACTATTTCAGTGGGGTTATACATGGAATATAATCCATGACATCATGGATGATCGATAGTCATGCAAAAAAAAAAGAATGGCGGCTTCTGTTTTTGCGCATACTAATGGCAAATGTATCACAAGTTTTTGATATACTTAACTTTAAATAATCTTCGTTTGTATAATTTAAGCGGCCAGACATTATTAATAATAAATTTCAAATAATAAATAAGAGCCTAATACGTTTATTTAATATCAGAATATTTTTTTATACGCCGTCATTGACAACTGAACTTGAAATCGGAAGAAAAATTGCCATAATAGTATATTATATACCTAGGTAGAGAAGTTGGTCATTATATACCGAGCGCTTTTATAAACCGATGCGCGGAGCGCCGAGGTTTATAATGTGTAAGGTATATAATGACTTTCTCTACCGAGGAATATATAGAATGTTTTTTACTACTACTAGTAGAAAATAAAAAAAATATTCAAAATCTGTGCTCTTAATTATTTTTTTGAACGCCCTTTTGAAAGTGCTGCCCTCTAACAACAGCTTATGATAACTTCCTATATGTACCTACAGAAACCTGTATTTTTTTTTAATTGACGTATGAAATTGAAATTGGACCAATAGAAACATGACAATATCCTTGCATCATGACGTCATTTTCATTATTGACCTAGGTATTTTTTCATTATTTTCATTATTAACCTAGGGAGAGAAATTCAATTTTTTCCTAAAAAAATAGATTGAATAATGACTATTTCTCAGGTTAGTAGTAAAAAAAAAATATTAAATCACCAATATGTCGAAAACTAATCATTTTTGGAATAGACAACTTTACACAAACTTACCCTTATTTTCACTGCTAAATAAGATAAAATTATAAAGTTCAGGGGTTTCCATTTGGAAAAATGTATTTACGGCAGTTTTCTCAATTTTAATTTTAATCCTATTTTTTGAACACCCTGTATTAATAGTTGTCAAAATATTATAAAAAAATGTTGGAGTAGGTCCTTGTCAACAAGGAATCCAACTCGAATTAAATTTCAAAAGATTTTTTATACGAAAAATTCCTAATTATATCAGGGCCTGCAAAAGTAATTTTTGACATAAAAACTTAAATATGTCAAAAATGCTTAATATACAGGGTGTCTCATTTGTAATAAGCAAGTTAACGTCTACTTATATTTTAGCCGAGTTGCTCCCGTTGACATAAGTATAATGTCAAATTTTCAAAAATTTTCTGCATACAGTTTTTCATATACAGTGAGTTCATAAAGTCCCGCATAAATTCATTATTTTGAAAACGGTAGAATTTTTGAAAAATCGCTCAGACACGTCGATTTTGTTTTTTTGTTTGAAATTTTTCGATATATTTTTTTTTCATACAGGGTGTGTCAAAAATAGCTTCGCTGGTTAATGCTAACCGTCAATTTAACACAAAATATGAAACGAGCCATGAGGCTAATAATCCAGAATGTCCAACATATTGCTATTACATAGAAGTTTTAAGAAGTAAAATCGATTACGGCCACGTATAATGGCGTCAAAACAAGAAATAGAAGTTCTTGATGTACTCGAGGACCTGGATGAAAATGTGCAATCGGCAAAGGACATAACAGACTGTGACATGTTGAAAACTAGGATTAACATCAAACAAAAGGTAATCAATTTAATTCACCTGAATATAAGAAGTATTAGAAAAAATGGTGATGAGTTGCTGGCATTTGTGCAAACTTTCGAGTTGGATTATTGTGACATAATGATTCTAACAGAATGTTATAAAATGGATTGCAATACATTTTGCTTTCCTGGCTATAACTCACATTACAATCATGCAGATTTCAATAAAAATGATGGCACCCTAATTTTAACTAAAGAGTATTTGAATGTTCAAATAAAGGACTATAAGCTTAGCTCACTGGTGACAGTGAGTCGATTGGAGTTTAACATTGAGGCGCTAAATGTTGGTGTAAACTGTTTATATAGACCAACTCCAACGAGTGCACTCCAATTTGTTCAGGACATTGATGGCTATTTTGAGGAACTTTTGAAGCACCAAATAGAAATATTTGTTGGGGACCTAAATTTAAATATAAACAATAGAGATGACCGTGTAATAAACTTGTACCTGTTGACTTTGAGTCATCATGGTTTTGTTTCGCTTGTGAACTGCGCCACTAGGGAAACAAGCACATCAGCTACTTGCATCGATCATCTATTTATGAGAAAAAAACTGAAAACTAATTCTCTAAAGTACCAATCTTTTGTGTTGAATAATGGTTTGACAGATCACTACCCTATCATGTTGAATTTATATAATGATTCGCCAAATCAGGCAATAAATAGCTCTAATAAAAACAAACCTATTAGAAAAGAAATAATTAAAACTAATTATAAAAGGCTTAGAGCTTTGTTGGACGAGAAAGAGTGGGACAGTGTTACAAGTTGCAAGGATCCACAAAAAGCAACTGATAATTTCTACAAAATAGTTCTGAATAACATCGAAGAAACAAAAACAATTAATGTAGTAAAAACATGTGAACACAAAAAGATTAAACCATGGATCACAAATGGCATTATTACAGCAATCAAACACCGAAATAAATTTTAAAAAAGACTACTTCGATCCTATGATGCCGAGCTTGAAAATGAGTATAAAGCGTATCGAAACCATCTAAACAAATTGATTATTAAATGCAAAAATGAATACTATAAAACCGAAATAAATAACAATAAGGGCAACTTGAAAAAAATATATCAAATCATATCAGAAGCGACCAATGAAAATCCTACCAAAAATAAAAATATAAACATAACAAACAATGACCAAAAATTTGAAAATGATAAAGACATGGCTGCTTATGTTAATGATTACTATATAAATGTTGGAATAAACATGGCAAGCCAAATAGAGCCCGCAGCAAATAATATTGAAGACGATTATGTCAATGACGCCACCATGTTTCTGTATCCAGTTGACCATAACGAACTCATTAAACACATCAGTTCACTGAAAAATAATAGCGCCCCCGGAATTGATGGTCTTTCTGCCAGACTCATAAAGAATATTCACCAAAGCCTTCTACGGCCCATAACTTAACTTATATAATTAACTTGAGCTTTGAGACCAGTATAGTTCCCAGCCAATTCAAATCAACAGTTGTCAGTCCAATCCACAAGTCCGAAAATCAAAACAATATAAGTAACTATCGTCCAATAAGCGTAATGAACAATTTCGGAAAGCTGTTTGAAAAATGTCTTAAAGACCGATTATTGTCATTTCTTAGAAAAAACAAAGTGCTATCAACAAATCAATTTGGTTTCATGGAGAAAGTCAGCACATGTGATGCCATGTATCAACTTATTGGGCAAATATCTCAAGACCTAGACCATAATAAAAAAACAATTGCAGTCTTTCTGGATTTGGCGAAGGCCTTTGCCACGGTACCACATGGCCAGCTTCTCAACACTTTGGAAAGTTATGGTGTCAGGGGTGTTGTGTTGGAGGTGTTTCGTTCCTATCTTTCTGACAGGGAACAAAGAGTAAAAATCAGAGACACCTATAGTGATATGTTAAACATTAAAATAGGTATTCCACAAGGTACAGTTCTGGGCCCTATACTGTTTATCGCATATATAAACTCTTTAACTAACATGCGAATACAGGGCTCTGTAACATCTTACGCCGACGACACCGTTCTACTTTTCTCAGGAGACACTTGGGGTGATGTGAGAAGGACGGCCAGTAGTGAATTAATTAAAGTGAAAAAACTGGCTAGACAATAAAAAACTTACGTTAAACATTGAAAAGACCAAATATGTAGCATTTTCACTCACTATGGCAAATCGACCGGATTACTCTGGCATTTACGTGGAGAATTTTCAGAGTGAAATCAAGGAGGTCCCTCACATAAGGTACCTTGGGGTAATCATTGATAAGCACTTGAAATGGGAAGAGCAGGTTTTGAAGCTGAAAAATAATGTCAGGAAGCTCATCCACAAATATTATCAACTGAGAGAATCAATGGGCCGAAAGTTATTAATATCAGCTTTGGTATAGCTTTGGTAGAGTCTCTACTAAGATATGGTATTATAGTTTGGGGTGGTCTGTATAATAATGTTCTGGAACAGCTCAATGTGGCACAAAATTATATACTCAAAATTATATATAAGAAGAATAAACTTTTCCCAACCCAGCAACTATACAGTGATCAGATTTTTAATGTAAGATCCATATACATCTTAGAAACATGCATTTTTGTATACAAACAAAGTAATTTTAAGAAATATGTGAATCATGATTACCAAACTCGAACTAATACTCAAATGAACCTACAGATACCACAAAGTAAGTCAACCATGAACTTAAGATTTTTAAATTATTTAGGCCCAAAGTTTTTCAACTTATTACCAGTAGAATTAAGGAAAACATCAAATTTGAAAAAATTTATCAAAAACTGTAGATATCTTATATTTAACAGAAATTAGGAATTTGTTAAACTTCTGAAATTAAGTTATTAGAGAGAAATTAATAAATAAGGATAAATTCAATTGTTTTTAAAAAAAATGATTAGCTGCCTTACACTGCAAATATTTATGTAATATTAGGTTAAGATTAATAGATTCAGAAAAAATACAATATATTGATTTTCAAACAAATTGAAAATATTTAGGTAACACATACAGGGGATCAAATCGCCTAGGTATTAAAATAGCAAATTAAGACTACACATAGCAATAAGTATACTTTGTTAAACAATGTAAATTAGAAAAAATTCTGTAATATATTGATTGATTGATTGATTGGTATCAACTTTATTTTTTTAAATGGTACCCCCTGTATATTATGACATTTCTGGATTCTGCGGAAAATTCTAGGCATATTTCATGTACAGGGTCTGTTCCTTATAATTAGTGCGGCTTCTACAGCTTAAACAAAAAAAAATAATAATAAAAAAAAGTTAAATACAAAAGTTGTAGGGTTTTATCTCTATTATTTTTTTGCAAATGTCAAAACGGGCAAATGACAGGTGCCAACTATCATAATGACATTTTTGGCATTTTTTTAAATTGAACACCCTGTATATTAACATTATAATAAATTAGGTCTGTCCCGATTTCTTACATCAATGATGAGGCTTGCTCAATGCAATTTTAAAATTAAATAGCGCAAAAACAGCTAAACCAAATATCAACATATATGGTATATTTGGAATCAGAAGAAAAACATCTATGATTCTAGTCAAAAATATACAGAGTGTTCCATTTAAAAAAATGCCTAAAATGTCATTATGACAGACAGTTGGCACCTGTCATTTGCTCGTTTTGATATTTGCAAAAGATAATAGAGATAAAACCCTACAACTTTTGTATTTAACTTTTTCAATTTTTTTTCTGTTTAAGCTGTAGAAGCCGCACTAATTATAAGGAACAGACCCTGTACAATATCATATACCCATCTTCAACTGTTTCGGAAATATTGACAGTTGAAAATTGACTTTTTTGCAACTTTGAAAGGCTGTAAAACCTAAACGGTTGATTTTAGAGCAAAACTGATAATATGATTCTTATCTTAGTTTTTCATAAACTATCATTTGACACCAACTTTGAATTAATCCATGATTAAAAGGTCCGGTTAAATTTAATCTACGGTTAAATTTAAAGTTGGTATCAACTGATAGCTTATGAAAAACTAAGACAAGAATGTATGATCGGTTTTGCTGTAAAATCAACCGTTTAGGTTTTACAGTCTGTAAAAGATGCAAAAAAATCAATTTTCAATATTTCCGAAACAGTTGCAGATAGATATATGACATTATACATGAAACATGTCTAGACTTTTCCGCAGAATCCAGAAATGTCATAATATACAGGGTACCATTTAAAAAAATTAAGTTGATACGAGCGAAGGTATTTTTGAGACACCCTGTATAATAAAATATATATCGAAAAATTTCAAACAAAATTGACTTGTCTGAGCGATTTTTCAAAAATTCTACCGTTTTCAAAATAATGAATTTTTGCGAGACTTTATGAATTCACTGTATATAGATCGATGTGGTTCCCGGTGGGACACCGTGTATATCTATACCAAGTTCAATCTCAATGGCGTTATTACAACTTTCGTATTTTTTAAAATATAGGTACCCATCCATTGAAACTTTTAAAATTGACACCGTATGTGTGCAATCAATGAGCAAAAAATTATAGACTACCCTTTATGTATACCTACCTACTTATAAATACCTGTTTATAATTTTAGGTTGTTATGGATTTCTTCTGTCAAATCCTCTTGGGATTGAATCACATTCATGAAACAGGAATCGTTCATAGAGACTTGAAATGTGAAAATATTTTTGTCACTGGAATTAATTGTGATGTTTTGAAGATTGGGGACTTTGGCATTTCAAAGCTAATGAAAGGGTGAGTTTCCTAAACATTGCATCTCATAATGCGAACATGCTGATAGATTAAAAAGTTCTCGTACTCGTGGAATTATTCAAAAGTGCCTATACAGTGTAAGTTGAAGAAAATAGTACCCACACTTGTGTATTATAAATATTTTTCACGCAGTGTACCTTTAAATATACAGGGTGATCAATGGCGACACCAGGGGTGGGCCCAGCGGGGGACAGAGCACCCACTGAAATTTAGCCCCCTTCCTAAACCTTTTTCAACGTATTACTTTAAAAATTGGTATCGCTTAAAATAGCCAATACTTTTTTCTCAGTGTATGTTTTTATTTTTTTTTGTCAACGAAATAATTTTGTGAACATTTTCAGGCAAAAAAGGTACTCCTGTTAAAATCCGTTAAAGTGAACCGTTTTCGAGATATTTCCGTTTTTGGTGTTCGATTCCGCACCGAAATATTGAAATTATTATTTTGAATCAAAAAATTTTGCTGGTAGGTACCTTTTTTAAGGATGACATGTGGTCAGTGAATTACTAGTGCAAATGCTTTTTTTTATTATTTTTTTTGAAGTGTTCGTACGTGTCCTTACATTATCACATACAAAAAATTCGATTTTTAATTTTTAAATTCACCACCCTGTATCTCGGAAACGGAGCAATTTCGGACTGAGGTAAGTTGCTTTAACTCGACTTATTTTGACCTCAGGAATATGTGGTAAGATTTTGTACAGATTTTTTAGAGACACCCTGTATATGTAGCTTACTACAGCTAAAAGACAATAAATCGATGCCAGGCACTTTTTGCATTTGCATTTACTTGGAGAATCTTATTCTACGGAAAAAACAAGTAACTTTTACTCGAAGCATTTTTCGATCCGGTTCCAATTTAGGCTGATAAAAAAGAACGAATCAATTTTTTTTATTTCCTCCTCACGAAATCTAAAAGTAGAGAAAGGTTACCATAGTTAAAAACTACCTCAAAAACTATAACAATTGTTCAAAGTGATGTCCGCCAACTTCAACACACTTGTCAATTCGCTGTAAAAATCTTTCACGGCATCAAATTAGAGTTTCTCTACTGACAGCTAAGCATTTCTTAGGCGTTCCATCATATTTTCCCGTGTTGTGGGAACCTCTTGTCTGTTTGATTTTTAAAGCGAATTGACAAGTGTGTTGAAGTTGGCGGTCATCATTTTGAAC